GGAGATCAAGTAAATAAATTCTTGAGTGAGTTTGGAGTTAAAGTAGTGAACCCCACACCGTATTACGCTCAATCCAAGGGCAAGCAGAATCTTCTAATAAGATTCTAAAAAATATCATAAGGAAATGATAGATGAAAATGCCAAAAATTGGCACGAATGTCTAAACAAGGCCTTATGGGCTTATAGGACGTTGTCTCGGTCAAGTATCAAAATTACTCCTTTCCAACTTACTTATGGACAGGAGGTCGTTTTGCCTATGAAAATCAACGTGCAATCGATCAGAGTGTGTTTGCAACATAAGTTAAGTGATGATGAGTATACCGAATCACTAGTTCAAAACTTATTGGAGTTGGACGAATTAAAGTTGGACGTCCTAGATAGATTGCAAGTTCAGAAACAAAGGATGACTAAGTTTTATAATAAAAAAGCTATAGCCAAGTCATTTAGCCTGGGTGAATTGATTTGGAAAATAATACTCCCTTTGGATAGCAAGGATCCAAAATATGGCAAGTGGTCGTCCAATTGGGAAGGGCCATATAAAGTAAATAGTGTGTTGCCTAATGGAGCCTATCATTTGGAAGATTTAGATGACACCAAGCACATGAGGTTCATTAATGGCAAATATTTAAAAAAATATGTTCCTTCCTTATTGGAAAGTGAACAAATAAAAGCATAATCAAATCGCGTTGATCGATCGTATAAAAAAAGGGCCATAACGAAATACATTCAAATAAATTCCTTTATTATCAAACATTCATTACAAATTGTGAAATACAAAATATTGCGAGATACAAAATATTAAATGCTCTATAAGCCACAATTGAGAGCAAACTAATTCCTTGGTTGATCACCAAGCAAGAGGGTGAACTGGCCTTAATTGCCATCCTGATCGCACTGCTGCAAAGGCAGGCAGAGAGGCCGAGAAGCATTCTCAACAAGCAAAAAGGAAGAAAAGCACCCTCAAATCACCTGCCTAATCGCATTGGTGCAATAATGGGCAAGGAGACTGAGAAGCACTCTCAGCAAGCAAGGTGGCTTGAAAAGCATCCTCAAACATTGCCTCCCATCATTGAGATGATCGGAAGAACTTCGCTGGTCAAAAAATATTTCCTATATCTCCCATACCAAAGGTGACATCAAAACAGGTAGCAAAATGGGAGGATCAAATGATCCATTTCTATGGAAGACGAAAATTTTGGATCGATTGTTTAAATGTCAAACGATGGCAGCAAATTAGTTTTTGAAGAAAAGAATGGAAATGAAAGTGAAAAGTGCAAAATATACGTGCATTTATAGGGGCGTGAAGGTGAAGAGACAGAATATGAACGGCCACATTTGTGCCTAGTAATTGGAGTCAAGTGGCCCAAAGTCTTGGGAAAAACCAAGAGAGAATGTACATGAATCTTAGCATAAAGCGGTTAAATGCTTGGGGGGTTGACGATTAAGGACAACGTCAATTAGTACACAAGTAGTCAAAATAGTCGTTCATTAATGACAATGGCTGCTGTTACATTCAAATTTAGCAATGGTAGTTAGTACGAAGTTACAAAAGGAAAATTTAAGGCATTAGATGTCTTAATTACAATTCACCCCAGGCCGATCGAATTCTTTCCCTAAGTCTCCCCCAATCCTTGCTCTGCTGAGAAGAAGTGACATTTAATTTAGCTACAAAATCGTCATCAACCTCCAGCTTTTTGTATTGCTCGACCAAAAACTTGGTTCGCTCAATTCCTTGGGAAGCATTACGCTTTTTGGCAGCCATTCTCGCCTTACAGTCGTCCATCCTTGCTTGAAGTTCCTTCATCTCTGTAGTCAAACTGGTCATCAAGGAGTCTTCAATCATGACTTCGGAAGAGATTTCTTTCAATTCGTCCTCGACTTTGTTAATCTCTAAAAGCAAAGACTCTCTTTCAGATGCAGCGCGAAGATATTGAGTACTCCTGGCCTTCAGTTCAACATTTTTGGCCAGCAAGGAGAAGATGTCGGAGTGGACAATCTTTAACGTCGCTTTAAAATCAGCAGAAATATTAAGCGACGGAAGTGTCAGTGCTTGCGCCAACTTCGCACTCAATAGCTCAAGCTTATCCTTATGTTTAGTAGCACTAGCTTGACCGATGTCCATGTCCATAAAAGACACATACTCAAATATCGACTGCTTGAGAAACTTCATATCTTCCTTTGAAGAAGCAGAAGGACGATCGGTTGAAGTAAGGCGAGACGTCTTGACTTGCCCCCAGGAGGTGAACAAATCCTAGATGGAATGCACAATGTTATGAGCACCCTGCAAAGAAAAATGCCAACATTGAGAGCTTTTACTACAATAAACGAAGCGAAAATGAAAGTAAAGCAAAAGGTTACCTCATCAGCAATCTTGGGAAATGGCAAATCACCAGTTGGCTCCACCACCTGTGGAGACTTCCTCTTATCTGGGCGAGAAGACTCTGCCACAACGGGCAAACCCATGGAAGCCTCTGCAGAATTCAAGAAGCAACAAATCAGAAGCCAATAGCACAAGCAAAGGTAAAATATCAAAAAATGTATTACCTTCTGGTTCGATGTTTGGGGGGTCGGCACCCTGGGAAGAAGGTGGCTCTTCCATTGGTTGTGATGAAGGTTCCGGGACTAAAGGTTTCTCTTTAAGCATAGTCCCTTCATCAGCTGATTTGGACGAAGCAGCTTCGACAGAGGATGATGGAGCAGGAGCTGCCAACACCAAAGCCTTCAAAGGAGAGGTTGAACTTTTTTGAGAAATTCAAATAAACCATTAGCACATAGAAAGGTATGTTTGTGAATAAACAGAATTCAATTACCTTTCTCCTAATGATGAGAGGAGCGTCATCATCATCATTATCATCATCCTCCAAAATGGGAGATGCTGAAGCTGGCCGTTTGCGGCTTAAGGCATTTTTAGCTGCAGTAGCCTTGGAAGGTAAGGAAGTAGATGGACGAATAGATTGTTTAGCACGAGCAGGGGAGGAAGGATTCCTAATGGACACAGGGGTGACCAAAATAGGAGAAGTGGAAGAAGTGTTTGGCTGATCCAGGGAATGGAAAGCACGATTGGCATCAGTTGCAAACAATCTGCGCTTCACTGATGGCCAGAGTTGTTCAAAAAGGGGATGGATGGCACGGCTAGAATTGAAGGGGGCTAATGAAAATTTACTCGTCAAAAGAATGTTGCGAGCCTTCTACCTTATTAATGGTGTGAAAGCGGTCTGTCAAATTTTTTGAATAGTAAAGAGGAACAGGCCAAGTTTGGCCAAAACCAAGTTGGCGAGCAAAAAATTGGGGAGCATATATTTCAACCCCAGCTTTGGCATTGGTTCCAGTTAAAATATTATGGAACAACTCCCTCCCAGTCAAAAATTGAATCCAAATGAGCAGAGAGGCGCTCGCACTATCTGGGATGGACGGAGGTTTCACATAATCTAGAGTCAAATGAGCAGGAAAAGGAAAGAAAGAAGGAATCGAATTTAAGAAATAAAAGAATGAAAAAATGTCCCTACTGGACATATGTATAAGGGTCAGTGGATCAATGGCTAGCCCATAGCAGCTAGCAGAACGACTGGAAATGGATGGAGCACCAAGTGGTGGAAAATATACTCTCAACCACAACTGAGTGAAGCAAAGAGGCCCACTACCAGTAGGAGATGCACCATTCTTCAATTGAAATTGAAGAGAAGCCATGCCTCTATAACGGGCAGCCAAAAAGAAGGAACACAAATTCAAAGGCATACCACGTGCTATGGGTAAGTAACTCATGGAAGGCTTCATACTTGGCACGCAGAGAATATATTTACATAGCCAAATCTGAAGAAAGGCCACACACTCAGCATGGGAAGGTTCAGCGCTTGAGTGATTATAATAGCTTTGCAGGCTTGAGTAGGACTCAGTGAGTTTCTTGTCAAATTTCGGGGCGACACCTGAAATCAAAATACCAGGGAAAATGGTATCGCCAAAAGGTGAAAGATTTACTAGGGCCCCAACATCCCTTAAAGATTTACTAGGGCCCCAACATCCCTTAAAGTAATAGACATGGGGCCAAGAGGGAAAACAAAGGTATTATATTCAAAAGACCAAAAACTTAAAGCAATAGGAAAGAGCACTGGGTCAAAAATTGGGGGTTGAAAAGCAATTTCTAATAAATCAGAAATCCTAGCACGATCAAAAATTGCCTTGGTAGGACCATGGCCTACAAGACGAGCATGCCATCTACGGAAAATAACATCAGATTTAGGCCAAGTGTGAATACCTTTTTCGCGAATCGGCCTCAACGGTAAAGAGTTCAGGAACAGAGGGCCTTGAGTTCAAGGGAACAGCTGGCCCATCGCCACTTGTTCGATAGCTTCGGCATTGTTGAATGATGGACCCAGATAGAACTCATTGAATTCGGCATTGGCTGGTGTAAGGAAGTTCGGATTTACATATGGCCGAGTAAGGATTTTCTGGAAATCGTCGAAGCTAGAAGAGTCATCAGATTGGGTTTGTGGAACCGCCATTGGGATCGAAATACAGTTTTGTTAAAGTTTGCTTGAGAAACATAGCAGAGAAGCAAGAAGATAAACAGTAATATTGCGAGAAAGAAGCGCGAAATAATGAGACGTGATTTAGTGGTGTGATGAAATGGCGTGTCTTTGGGGTTTATAAGGGTTTGCAACGTCGCACCTTTTCAGGCTATGGAAGGAAATAATGATTGAAATTTTTGAGAATTTCAAATATTGCTGGAAAATACAAAATAAATATGGCAAAGATTAATAATTAGTATTAATTCTACCATATTGGGGAGTAATTGTTGACACACTAAAAGTACAGTCAAAATCGAATAGTCCAAGGAATGAAGCCCAATTGAAGAATTTCCAAATCAAATAGCCCAAAAAATGAAGCCCAAACGGGGCAATTCAGGATAAAGGCCCAGACAGGGTTATTAATGAATGCAGTGGAAGCCTACAAACACAGTAACATCATCGCCCAAGCTTCCAAGACGCCCGAGATATGAACGAATGGAGTGCCTTACAGTCGCCCAGAGCGATGACCCTGTTCTCGCCCATACCTTCGAATCGCCCAGGATCTTAGCAAACATAAAATGTTATGGTTATCCAGAAATGCAGTTATTGAAGCAGTTATTGAGTAACCTTATCACATTCCACGATTCAAGGAACCCAGTTGAAGGCGGTTGAACGACAAAGAGTAGTGGCAGCAGTTAGAGACGGCAGTTCCACGACAAGTTAGCCACCATAAAGAAAGTGGGTAATTATAAAGCAATCAAGCAGTTTCCAAGCGATTTGTCACAAAGAAATCATCAAGGGAATATAAAAGGAAAAGAAGACATAGAGAAAGGACTCGAATCAAACACTCTCAAACAGATAATATGTAATTTCAATTTCTTAGTTTAAACTTAAACATTTCTTTCAGTACTCATGTGCTTGCGCCCCTTGGAGGCATTCTATTTAGTTCCAATCATAAATCATCGCCAATAAAACACCCCTTTTTGGGACTTTGTCTCAAGAGGTTTGTTCCTTACACAATCGTCTGATCCTTTTTAATTGTTAGCGACTTCCTGCACGAAACACTTGGTGCGTTTGGATTAGAGAGTAGTGTTCCAGTCTTGAAGACTAGTTTCGAATTGGATCCATCTAAAGAAGTTAAAGAATCATGTGAACTGGCTCTTAATCGAATTAGGGAGCTACCAAACGCGAAGCCTGATGAATTAAGACGTTTTAATTTGTTGGAAGCGGCTCCATTGCTCTTTTGCCCTGTGCCAGAATTAAGGTTTGCAATTCTTGAAATAGATTGATAATCATAATATGTTCTTACCAGTCCATATAATGAGTTCTTTTGTTCTCTGGTATATTATTCAGGGAAGTTCTACTGAATGAAGACAATAGCCGATATGAGCGTTGCTCTGCACTTTTTTCACTTCGACTGTATTTTCTTCATCCTACCCCTTGTACTGAGGAAGCAATCTCGGCTATTATTGAATCCCTTTATGCAGAAAGCGCAGTTCTACAGTACCATGCACGTTTTCATTTTATGCTTTAATCCTAAGTTTTTCTAAAGGGACATTACCCTATAACGAAATAGAGATCACATGCACACACAAGGACAAAGTAGATAAAGAGCGACTCTCAATACTTGAGCTTTTGTGTTTGGGAAGTTGGTTCTGGTTGTAACTAGAGGAATTGACTCTATTACTTGAACGTCTAATGTTCTATTGACCTGTTCTCCGGGTTGCGTATTACTTGCTTCAAATAGGGAACAAAAAAGCTTTTCATGCTCTATCCTAGGTTTTTCAGAGTACCTCTGAACATCCTCTGGTTAGACATAATGCCGCTAAGGTTCTTCGTTCTATTGCAGTAAAAGAAGGTCTTGATTCTACAACATGTATGTCCTCCACTTGTATTTTTTACATGTTGTTCTTATGCCAGTTGCGGTATATTCATCATATTATGGTTAGTTGACCAAGACAATTGCATTAGAATGAAAACTATTTTTTCAGCTAGTCTAGATGTCAGAGTAGATTGCCTTTTTTCTTTTTTGGACTGTAATATACCATCAACGCAAATCTCTAAATTAGTTTGTGTTTTCCAATTAAATTAATTTTATGAGTTGGTGAAATAGTTCCAACAAATTGATATAAAAATTTTAAGGGCATTGAAGGATTACATTCATTAGAGTTCTGAGACTAGGAAGCTCTTAGAAAGGAACTTATACCTGTCACTTGATGAAAAATCTCTCAAAAAAATTGGTATGGTACAGACTTTACCAATTACAATGCTGTTATGTACATATTTTTATGGGTGAAGAATAGGTGTAAAAAGAAAAAATAATCTGGTTTATTCTCTCTCTCTCTCTCTCTCTCTCTATGTATATATATATATACACATATACATACTTGATCTTCAATCGTATAATTTTCCTTTTTTTTATTTTGCACAATTCTTCTTTCATGCATCTTATGGATTTGTAGACCGCAAATGTATCATGCTGCTCGAGAAATTTGCTGAGGATCCTGAGCCTATTGTCTCCCAAAGCTGTGAACTTGCTATTAGGAAGCTTGATTTTGAGAGATCAACGCAGCACTTTCTGGTAAATCTAGAATTTGACTTATTTTTCATCCCTTTTTCCATTCTTCATATGAAATGAGTTTATTAGGTAAATATATATTCCAATTCTCATTTTATATTCTCACGTAAATGTTTTGAGTTATTATTATTATTATTTATTTTTATTTATTTATTTTTTTTTTTGTGAATTTTCAGATTGCTGTTGTCAAACCACACCATACCATTGGTACTACCTTCCAAGATTGGATATCAGCATATAACACTAACAAGGCATGATATGTTAATTAAAGAAGAAAGGAACACTAACTTTTTCTCTTTTTGTTACCGGGCCTCGGGCATTTCAGGAATTCGGGTTCTTTTGAAGGGATTAAGCCCAGTCCAATACACAGAAAAATGGAATTAAATCTAAGGAGTTTCAGCCACAATTTAAGTGGCCCAACCAAATTTTCACTTTAAATCTCTTTCCTCGTAGTCCTTTTCATTTATTCACGCTCCGTTCTCTCGTAAATCTGGTACAATAGAGTAAATCTAGCATTTTGTGAATCATTCTAAGTGTACATGGGCTTTATAGCGCAGACACTGTGCAGTTGATTATTATTATTATTATTATTATTATTATTATTATTATTTTGCCATTGCCCTATGGATCCTCATTGTAATGGTCGTGGCTAACATTCCCCTGGCACCAAGAAACTCTCGGTACACCTAACTTATTTTTTTTGATGGATGTGATTTTGCTAATTTTTTATGATGAATATGCTTTAATGAGTTAAAATGTTTAGAGATGATTGAGATAATTGGAACCTGGAAGAATTATTTGCAGAACCTACATCAATAGGGTACGTATTTCTAAGATACTCAAAAGTAAATGGACCAGTCACTTTTGAAACTCAATTGGATCGTCAATCTAAACCAATATAATTTAATTCTTTATGATTCCAAATACAATAAAAATATGAAATTCAAAAATTTAAATCTACGACTTCATTATTAAATACATAATTCCCCTAATCTTAACTTGTACAATTTTTTTTCTCGACCAGTCCAAAGCACTTGTACAATTTTTGCGTACCTACTAACAATCGTATCAACCGTTGGCCCCATCCCCATATATCTCACATCATTCTCTACATTTGCAACATACCCAACCTACAATAGAACAAAGTATAATTTTTTGGTCGAGTCTGTCGCATCGGGCTTGTTTAGTGCGATTTAGCTGGTGGCGTGATTTGCAGGTTATTGCGTCAGTTCGAGTATATATAGGTTGTAATTAATTATAAAATATAAACTTACAGTGGTGCTATTTCGTTTGCTTGGGTAATACGAGATAGTCCTAGACATACTAGAAAAACCCTAGAAATGCGACAAAATATTCGATTGTAGGGCATAGTTTCCTTCAAATTCTCGATCGACAGACGGCCAAGAATGTCAATTAGTATATCATCAGGCAAGTCACCATGAGACAAGAAGACTAATGTTTAAAATATGAATTAGAAATTTATTATAAAATAAAATTAGTATTTTAGAAATACTTATCCCATTGATGTAGGTTCTACAAATAATTCCTCCAGGTTCCAATTATCTTCATCCTCTCTAAACATTTTAACTCGTTAAAAAGCATATTCATCATAAAAAAATTAGCAAAATCATATCCATCAACAAAAATAAGTTGGGTGTACTGAGAGTTTCTTAGTACCAGGGGAATAGTAGCCACGGCCATTTCAAGGAGGATGTGGATGTGGCACAATTCCATAGGTCGATGGCATAATAATAATGATGATGACGACGACGATAATAATGATGATGATAATAATAATAATAAATCAACCGCATAGGTGCTTTGCTATAAAGCCCCTCTGCACTCAAAATGATTCATAAAATTGTGATTGAATGGGATGAATTTTTAGTACTTGATAGAACTTACTCCATTGTTGCAGATGTACGAGAGAATGGAGTTACCATTGTTGCAAATGTACGAGAGAACGGAGCTTGAAAAAATGAAGAAGACTAGGAGAAAAGAGATTTAAAGTGAAAATTTGGTTGGGCCATTCATGGCCAATTTATTGGGCAACTTACAAAAATACCCTTAAAATTAGATGTATTTTGAAAAAGCATATGAAAAGTTTTTAGGAAGTAAAAAATACTGTATGAAATGAAAAATGGACACAATGTCACTTTTTTATTAAAAAAAAAAATTGTCATTTTTTTTCACAAACTCAAAAAAAGTGACCAAATTAAAAAAAAAAAGTGACATGAATTGACGATAAATTAAAAAGAGGTATTTTAATTTATCGATTTTGACTAGATCAAAATAATAATTCACGTTTTTAAATATCGTGATTGAGAGCCTAATGGATCACACATAAAATGAGAATTAGAAGAATAAGATTTACCAATTAATTAATTGACAAATATTGGATAATTAATGAATTCGATTGCTTGTTAATAGGCCCGAATAAAATTAATTAATTCATAAACCAATTTAATTATGGAAAACTTACAAAACTACCCTTAAAATTATGGATGTTTAGAAAAATCATATGAAAAAAATTTTGAAAGTAAAAATACTGTCTAAAATTAAAAAGTGACATAATGTCACTTTTTTAATATAAATTAAAAATTGTCTAAAAAAAAAAGTGAATGTCACTTTTATATTAAAACATGAAATAAAATTTCACTTTTATTAAAAATTGATGTTCGTAACTAAAAAAAAAAAAAGTGATAGAAATTTCAAGAAAGCAACTGAAAAAGTGCCAAGCACTAAAAAAAGTGACAATTTTTTTTTTAAAAAAAGTGACATCTACTTTAAAAAGTGACAAAAATTCAAAACTATGACTAAAATTTAGAAAAAATGATGAATTTAAAAAAGTGACACAAATTAAAAGAAGTTGCACAAATTAAAAAAAAAAGTGACACTTTTTAACATTTTCCTTAAGCAAACACCTTGCATGCATCAATCCAATTGATTCAAAGTTTTGCTTTTCATATGTATTAATATAAAGCAAGACTTGAATTTGTATGTTCAAATTTTCAAAAAAAGCACACGTGTGTATCTAGTTAATTGTTCCAATGAAATAACGCGACTTTTTTTTTAGAAAAGTGACATTCTTCACATTCTCCTTAAACAAATACATTACATGCACCAATCTAATTGATTCAAAACTATCTTTTATGTATTAACATAAAACAATGCTTAAATTTGCATGATCAAATTTTCAAAAATGCACATGTATACATCTAGTTAATTACTCAAATGAGATAGTGTGACTTTTTCAGAAAAGTAACAGAATGTCACTTTTTCACATTCACCTCTCGTCAAACACCTTATATGCATCAATTTAATTGACTTAAAGCTATGTATTGACATTATCAATTTCTTCTCAAGTTCAATAATATTATTTTCAAACATATTCCCAATCATAATATCAAAATCATCAAAAAGAAATTTCATAAATGTCAATTATTTACATTATAAAGTTCAAACTAAACCTAATCATATTGCTAAGGGGCTCTTTGCTCATTTAACTTCCACTTCAACTAATGGAGACCAACTTGCTAACTCATCAAACAACTGTGTTCCAACACTAATCCCAGAAAGAAACAGGTACCTAACCCCCTTCATCATCCATATGTTCAGAACCTGTCTCCAAATCCTTAGCCTTTTCACACTTTATTGCATTAACAATATAACACCATAGAATATACTACTCTAATCTCGACAGTGTAGCGAACGGTGTAGAATCAGAATGAGAAAAACATCGCTTGAAGAAATTGAGCAAATCAATCAAATTTTCAGCCTCGAAATTTGGAAATGTAAGCACAGAAATTCAAATCTAAAATCTTATTGAATTCAAACCCCTTGCTAATATCACTTCCAGCCCTTTTCCAAAAGATTGGAGAGTTTTTGTAAATCCTCTAACCACCATAAGTTCTCTGATGAGTTCCTCCGCAAATTGCAGGTTCTCCATCTGCAAA